CAATTAATAAATTCTTAGTACATGTAGTAATTAATAACTGCAACCCGCAATAATTCAGTTACGCCTTGTACAATTAATAACGTAGGAAACCGAATATACATTATGAAAATAATGAAAAATTAAGCAATGCCAATTACATTTCGATTGTTGCATAATTTACGTTATGGTCTAATTCATAGATTATACAACGGTTTGGTAGTGATTTGTGGTATTATCATTACGTTAGTTCAAATAAAAGCACGGATACGAGATGATCTATTAACGTATGTATTTTTACTGTTTTTTGTTCTGTGGAGATCTAAAGCCTTATTATAATTTCCTTGTCACTGACACAGTTATCAAGAGATTATTATAGAAAGTAATCCTGGCAATCACTATGATAGGAAATGAAACAAATTAAAGAAAGAAATTTTTAACTTAATTAAAAGTGTGTTATTATTTGTCTTCTATAATATATGAGCTCTTTGTTGTTTAGACTTTCCAAAATAATACTTTCTTTTACCAACTCTCTTAGTGAGATTTCAAGAGTGCTTCAAATATAATGTACTGTGATAATGGCTAAATTATAATGGGCAGGGAAAACGATTTTGTCATTTCTATTTCATAATCTTTCACCAGATGAACAATTCTGAATTTTTAAATCCGGGATCATCCTCTCTTATAATTTTCGTGCCGGAATAACAGTCGAACATGAGACACGGAAGTCCATAAAGGACAGATTTCCTCGTATATTTCATCTATGATAAAAGCATAAATTCGTAGTAAACATTTGTGACCTATAACGAAATTAAAGAAAAAGCATGTCCCCTGCGAAGGATACTAATACTCTTACGCGCCACGGAAGCTCGTTGCATCCGGTCGCTAATGGATACCGAAAATCTCTCTGTATCCGTTGGTCTCCGTCACCAATAATAGAATATTTAATTGTTTCGAAGAGCCGACTCAAAATCGCATTGACGCTACGTGAGCCCCGTACCGAATGCTTTTCATTTATCGACGTTACCTAATTATATTTCGGTACGGTGCGCGCGGCTTGGTAACCATCCGCATTCCTGGCAGTAATATTCCAGCTGGAAGCGTCGAATTACTCGTGTGATGTCTGCCCGACGCGATTCCATAATTGACCGTCTCTAATCGATGATCCAATTCCTGCTTTCTGTCGTGCGTTTAAAGGGACCACCCCCATACACGGCCTACGGCATAACTGATCAGCGCGTCTTAATCCCCAGGAGAATGACAGGAAATTCATGTTAATGACGAGATCAAGTCATGATCAGAAAAGTTTTAATAGCAGTTAGATTCCTAAACGAATTTTTAATAAATGGTTTAGAGCAGGGCTTCTTAAACTATGGGTCGCGACCCCAAATGGGGTCGCGTAGCAAAATTTTGACGACTGTAATGGTAACTCGCAATCATAAATGGGGTCGTGAATGACAAAAGTTTAAGAAGCCCTGAATTAGAGTGTGAGTTGGACATTGGAGGTGACCTGAACTCAGACCTGAGCTCAGTTGCACTTGCAACAGTTGTGTACAGACACGTTGTCCCGTTGGTCAGTGATTTCCTCATCGATGGTGTTCGCCAATGGCCTGCCACGCGTTTCCGGTAATATAGCGCAGAGCAGGCCTGCTAATAGCGCGAGACAACCGCATAGAGTAGTCGGACCCCACCAGATCGCAGCTCCTAATAAATCAGCCACGTAAGGCGCGGCCACGCTTCCGACGTGCGACATTGCGGAATTCGTACCAACCGCAGAATTTCTACAGACCTGTTCAAACAATCAATAAAATAGAATTATCATCCAGAACGTGACATTTATTTTTATAATTCTGATCATGTATGATGATTCTGTGGTCGTAAGTACGTTGGACTCACTGTTGGGAACAGTTCGGAGCTGTAGAGAATAGCAATGCCGTAAGCAGCGGACGCACTGAACCTTCCAATCAGCGATATAACCATAATCGCAGTACTGTCCGTAGTTGGTATTGCTAGAATGCATAGCAAACAGAACGCTGCGATTATGAATAAGGACGCACTTCCTGGTCGGCGTCCCATGACCATCAGGATTGGAGTCGGTATCAGGTAAGCTGGTATCTCAGTTAAACCCATCACTACCACGTAAATGTACCGGTCCGTCGAGAAATTGTTCACGTTCAATGCTGAGATTAATTAAAATTATAATATTTCTTATCAATTACAGCAAATATGAAATTCGTTTTTATGAAAAGGTTACCTAAAGCGTAGTAAGTCAGGGAGGCAGTCATCCAAGAGAAATTTGTAATACAAAGCCTCCTCCTGAGTTCACTGTTGCTAACAAGCACCATGAATCCTTTCATATTTTTCGACAATTGCTCCTTCGTGGAGTTTTGCTTGCCAGTTGTACTTTGAGCAATTATTATATCATCCTTCGACT